GGAGCTTTCCCGTGTAAATAGTTTTATTTTCTTTTCTTTCCTTTGGGGGTCGAGAAGACCGTATTGAAAATGCTTAGTGGCTCTCATATGCATGATTGTTATTTAACTTAGAGCCCATATTACTTGTCTTTTCTTTTGAGTTGAATGCTTGCAGATTCCAGCTTAGTCCAATGCACGTGCACTCTTATTATTATACACATCGTTCGGTTGTGCAAGTGAAAGGCAATAATGACGATATATGGACTTAATGGGATGAGAAAAGCTGGTATGAACTCGACCTCTCTTGTTGTTGTAAATATGATGAGTTCATCGTTCCTGATTCAGCTATTATGAAGTAAACATATTTGCAATGACACTTAGAGATTATAGTTGCTTGTGCCATGCTTGATTAGCTATGAGTTATAATGGTTTACCTTGCATGCCAACATGCTATTAGAATGATTATAATGTGGTATGATGGGATGGTGTCCTCCTTTAAATGAATTGAGTGACTCGACTTGGCACATGTTCACGCATGTAGTTGAAAATAAATCAACATAGCCTTCACGATATTTATGTTCATGGTGGATTATATCCTTCTCATGCTTGCACTCGGTGTGAATTAATTTTAATGCATGTTTATGACTGTTGTCGCTCTCTGAGTTGGTCGCTTCCCAGTCTTTTGCTAGCCTTCACCTGTACTAAGCGGGAATACTGCTTGTGCATCCAAACTCCTTAAACCCCAAAGTTGTTCCATATGAGTCCACTATACCTTCCTATATGCGGTATCTACCTACCGTTCCAAGTAAATTTGTATGTGCCAAACTCCAAACCTTCAAATGAAATTCTGTTTTGTATGCTCGAGCAGCTCATGTTACAACTAGGGCTGCCTATATCTTCCATGCTAGGTGGGTTATTCTCACGAGGAGTGGACTCCACTCCTCATTCACGAGAAAGGGCCGGTAACCGGGATGCCCAGTCCCATGATCAAAAAAGATCAAAGCAAATCAAAATAATTGAACAAAACTCCCCCAGGGCTATTGTTAGTTGGAGGCACTCATTGTTTTGAGCAAGCCATGGATTGATGCTTGTTGGTGGTTGGGGGAGTATAAACCTTTACCATTTTGTTTGGGAACTGCCTATAATGCATGTAGTATGGAAGATACAGCCATCTCATAGATGTTGCGTTGACAGTGAAAGTATGCCGCTCAAAATGTTATTCAATCTCTATTTTAAAATCGAGCTCTGGCACCTCTACAAATCCCTGCTTCCCTCTGCGAAGGGCCTATCTATTTACTTTTATGTTGAGTCATCACCCTTCTTATTAAAAGCACCCGCTGGAGAGCACACTGTCATTTGCATTCATTATTATTGGTTTATATTGGGTATGACTTGACTGGATCTCTTTTACCATGAATTACAATGTTTAGTCAGTCCTTGATCTTTAAAGGTGCTCTACATTTATGTTTTGCGGTCTCAGAAAGGGCTAGCGAGATACCATTTTGTTATATCATGTTATAATTATTTTGAGAAGGTGTTGTCATCCGAGTTTTATTATTATGGCTCGCTAGCTGATTATGCTATTGATATGAGTAATTGTGAGAGCTAAGTGTTATTGTGAGTATGGTTAGTTCATAATATTTGCTGAAACTGGAATGCTAGCTTTTCATGTTTACAACAATAAGAGCAAACAGAGTTTGTAAAAGTTTTTCTTTATTACTTTCAGTTTATTAACTGAATTGCTTGAGGACAAGCAAAGGTTTAAGCTTGGGGGAGTTGATATGCCTCCAACGTATCTACTTTTCCAAACACTTTTGCCCTTGTTTTGGACTCTAACTTGCATGATTTGAATGAAACTAACCCGGACTGACGCTGTTTTCAGCAGAACTGCCATGATGTTGTTTTATGTGTAGAAAAGAAATGTTCTCGGAATGTCCTGAAAATCCACGGAGGCACCTTTTGGAATTAATAAGAATTTCTGGGCGAAAGAAATACACTAGGGGCCCCAGTGCCTGTCCACGAGACAGGGGGGCGCGCACCCTAGGGCGTGCCCCCCTATCTCGTGGGCCCCCTAGAGCTCCACCGACCTCAACTCCAACTCCATATATTCCGTCTCGCGGAGCAAAAAATCAGAGAGAAAGTTTCATCGCGTTTTACGACACGGAGCCACCGCCAAGCCCTAATCTCTCTCGGGAGGGCTGATCTGGAGTCCGTTCGGGGCTCCGGAGAGGGGGATTCGTCGTCGTCGTCATCATCAACCATCCTCCATCACCAATTTCATGATGCTCACCGCCATGCGTGAGTAATTCCATCGTAGGCTTGCTGGACGGTGATGGGTTGGATGAGATTTACCATGTAATCAAGTTAGTTTTGTTAGTGTTTGATCCCTAGTATCCACTATGTTCTGAGATTGATGTTGCTATGACTTTGCTATGCATAATGCTTGTCACTAGGGCCCGAGTGCCGTGATTTCAGATCTGAACCTATTATGTTTTCATGAATATATGTGTGTTCTTGATCCTATCTTGCAAGTCTATAGTCACCTATTATGTGTTATGATCCGACAACCCCGAAGTGACAATAATCAGGATACTTCTCGGTGATGACCGTAGTTTGAGGAGTTCATGTATTCACTCTGTGCTAATGCTTTGGTCCGGTTCTCTATTAAAAGGAGGCCTTAATATCCCTTAGTTTCCACTAGGACCCCGCTGCAACGGGAGGGTAGGACAAAAGATGTCATGCAAGTTCTTTTCCATAAGCACGTATGACTATTTACGGAATACATGCCTACATTACATTGATGAACTGGAGCTAGTTCTGTGTCACCCTATGTTATAGCTATTACATGAGGAATCGCATCCGGCATAATTATCCATCACTGATCCATTGCCTATGAGCTTGTCATATATTGTTCTCCGTTTATTTACTTTTCCGTTGCTGCTGTTACAACTACTACAAAAAACCCAAAAACATTTATCTTTACTGTTGCTACTGTTACCATTACTATCATACCACTTTTGCTACTAAACACTTTGCCGCCGATACTAAGTTATCCAGGTGTGGTTGAATTGACAACTCAACTGCTAATACTCAAGAATATTCTTTGGCTCCCCTTGTGTCGAATCAATAAATTTGGGTTGTACTTCACCCTCGAAAGCTATTACGATCCCCTACACTTGTGGGTTATCAGCTGTCGTTAGATCCCACACCATCCCTTTGTTTTTTCTTTTGTTTTTTTGTTTTGGAATAAAGCATCACATCCCCATTCATGGCATCTGGGACCTTTGACCACCATCTGCCGAGCGCATTCGGCTGGATCCGCACAGTTCCTCGAAGCTGGTGTGCCTCCCCTGCCGGATCTCATCCACCGGACGTCCTGGAGTCACCGGCCTCTCCTTCCCGTCAGCACATGGGAGATCCCCTTCCCGCCCCTCGCCTGTTTTTTCCTCTAATGAGCTAGACGTCGTCTCCCACGCACCCCCTCCACGCCCTCTCAACCAGTGTTGTTGCAGTAGTCACCATGGATGTGCCAACACCACCTTCAACCCCCCGGCAGTGAGATGTTACATCCCTTTGCGAGAGATGGTACAATCAACTTGCATGGATGCTACGATTGATTTTTTTGCTTCATCCGACAGCTGGAGTTTGGTTGCTGATTTTTTTGCTGCAACCGTGCTGACTTTTTGCTACTACGATGATGGCAATTTGCTACATCCTCCGTGGTGAGTCAACTGATGTGGCGGCGGCTGGACGCCAGGCTGATGTGATAATGCTACAACTGGCTTCGAGATTTGCTACAACTAGCATCTTGATTTGCTGGAACCTGCCACCATGTCTGCTGTAACCATTGTCGTAGTGCAGCGTTTTTGCCTCGACCGACCAAGACATTTGCTGGAACCGACACACAAAATTGCTGGAACAGGCTTCTCTCTTCTTGTCAACGCGACCATGGTGACCACGGCAGGGGACGATGTTTGCTTTTTTTGCTACAACCACACATCACAAAGCTACGACCGGCGTTGCGCCGTGCTCGAATGGTGGCTTGCATCTTGGTTCCGTAATACAAGCTACCATGGAGCGGGAGCAGGGGGTGAGGAGGAGTTGTGGCAATGGGGCCGAGGGTGAGCAAGGCGGTGCGGGTGGCTGGCAAGTGTAGGGTGTCCTAGGGGACGAGGGCGGCGTCATACATCGCCGACGCCCGCCGTCACAAGGGGAAGGAAGAAGACGAGGAGGCAGAAAGAAGATGTCGCAAGGGATCCAATGGTACGGTTGCGTACGGCTGAATTAAGCGACTAGGGGCCGACCGGCCGAAATTTCACCCGCGGCTGGGGGGCCCACCGACCGAAATTTCGCCCAGCGCGCCCGCTCCTAGCATCACCCATTTCTGTTCGTGTGCACCATCTAATACATCACTATGCAATAGAAAAAATGATACACCATACAAGGTTCAGACCAACTAAAAGAATGAAGGGCCTAGACCAGCGCATCAACATATTACACACAAACAACCAAGTGTATTTTGGCCTGCCAACAAAAACAGAGTCTAAAGGAGATGTCAGCTGAATGAGACCAAACTATATCTCATCTAGTTGAGTTCTAAGTACTCTTTTTTTTTAAAAGGTGTGTATTATATTAAATAATCAACATAGGTTCATTACAATCATCATCGACCAGTCGCAACACGCAGGCTGGAACTGAGCCGATCAACACACCCTTATTCACAGCGCTCCTACCAAAACTAGCGAGAGCGTGGGCAACCCTATTGCCATTTCTAGAGATCTTAGCAATAGTAAAATCAGGGAGTTGGCCCAGCAAACTCTGAATTTCCCTACACAAGCTACCAATGGGAGATCTATTAAAGTCCTTTGAAGAAATTTGTTGGATGACATTCGCACAGTCGCTCTCAATAACTACTGGCCGGTCTATGAACTGCATGGTATCTCAGATTCCTTCAAGACAGGCTTCAGCTTCGGCCGCCTCAGCACTAGCACAGTTACGGATTGTGTTCCAAGCAGATCCAATCACCGCCCCATTCGTATCTCGTAGAACCGCCCCCAAGCTCCATGGTTTGTCTCCTGAATAAAGCTTGCATCAACATTTAGTTTGAGGCAACTTGAGTTAGGTCTGACCCATTGATAATCTGCAACTCTCTGTTTAGTCTCATAGAATGAAATGTCTGGCATCACTTTTCCTTTTCCTTTAAAGTCAGGAAGCGACTGTCCCGCTCTGATCGCCGCAAAGGAGCTAGCATAACTTTGTAGGAATTCTGCTGATGCCTTTATTGTATCTTTCTCGTCACCAAATATAATGTTATTTCTAAGGTGCCATGCTTGTCACCTATGATTGAGATCATGAGGCATATGGGCTTTGATGAGAGATGGATTGGATGGATCAGAAGTATTTTCTCCACGGGTACTTCCTCCGTGTTGCTCAATGGTACCCCGGGGAAGCAATTTGCCTATATGTGTGGAGTGAGACAAGGAGATCCGCTCTCGCCTCTAATTTTCGTTCTCGCTGCAGACCTCTTGCAAGCGGCGATCAACGAAGCCTGCAGAGCTGGGCAACTACACCTGCCGATTCCATCACACGATAACAACTACCCAGTTATTCAGTATGCCGACGACACGATCCTGGTGTTCCTGGCTTGCCCGAATCAAGCCCGAGTCCTAAAAAAAATACTGTTGGACTATGCAACGTCGGTTGGTCTGAAAATCAATTTCCACAAATCAACAATTGTCCCAATCAACCTAGAGTCGGCGACGACGACTGAATTGGCAGAGATTTTTGGGTGCGTCGTTGGACAAATGCCATTCACGTATCTAGGGTTGCCTATGGGGACAACCCGTCCCACAGTTACGGATTTGTTGCCCATGGTCACCGCAGTGCAGAGAAAAATTCTAGCAGCAGTTTCCTTGCTTGATTATGGCTCCAAGCTGACTCTTCTGAACTCAGTTGTGACCTCGCTCACGATATACGCAATGTGTTCCATCAAGTTAAACCCCAGGATCGTTGAACACCTAGACAAACTCCGAAGATCCTGTCTGTGGCTGTGGAAAACAGAGGATGGCACCAAAGGCAACTCCCTCGCAGCTTGGGACATGGTTTGCAGGCCAAAAAACAAGGGAGGCTTGGGAATCATAAACCTCAAAATTCAGAATCAGGGTTTGTTATTGAAACAACTTCATAATTTCTACAACAAGCAAGATGTTCCATGGGTTCAGCTTGTCTGGAATTTGTATTACAACCATCAAACCCCACATGCAATGGACCCTTGTGGCTCGTTCTGGTGGAAAGATCTCATGCAGTTGTCTGATATCTACAGAGGGGTTACCAGGGCGTCTGTTGGGTCGGGTGGCTCGATCCTCTTCTGGAAGGATGAGTGGAAAGATGGCCTACTCCAGGACACATTCCCGAGAGCTTTTTCCTTTGCCAGGGATCCAGATATGTCAGTCCAGTCCCTACTTTCCTCAGTGAGGTTAGGAGATGTGTTTCACCTCCCCCTCTCGATGGAAGCTCGGCTTGAGGTGACCAATTTGCAACTAGCCACGTCGGATGTGTCTCTGACTGTCAGGGATGATACATGGAAATGTGTGTGGGGAGGAAGTGATTTTAAAGCCACAAACTTTTATGAACATTGCTTCAGGGATATGCAGGTGGACGAGGCCTTTTGCTGGATTTGGAAGACCAAATGTACCATGCAATGGAAAGTATTCGCGTGGCTGCTGCTGGCTGATTGTTTGAACACGAGAAATATGCTGAGAAGGAGACACTATAAAATCCAGAATGACGATTATACCTGCTTACTCTGTCAAAACCCACCTGAAGAGGACGTTGCTCACCTCCTCTTTAACTGTCCTTTCAGTAAAAGATGTTGGGACAGTATTGGGATTCATTGGCCAGTTGGGGACTGTAGGCTCACATTATTGCACGCTGGTAAAAACTCTTGGAATGGACACATGTTCATGGAGGTGTTCACGGTGGCGACCTGGGGGATCTGGAAGGAAAGGAATGATAAACACTTCAGAGGGATCTAGCCGTCCTTTACATCCTGGAAGAACAGATTCAAGCATGATTTTGCTCTATTGGTCCATAGGGCCAAGCAGGAGTATGCTCCTTATATCCTGTCACTAGTAGCTGCCTTGTAATTAGGGGGATATCACCTTCTGTAACTCTTCTTCTCCCCCCCTTTTCATGTAGTAGTGACTTGTGTAGTAGGGCTGTAGGCTGACTGGACTGGACTGTTGGGACTGTACTAACCCTTTAACACTTTAATATAAAGTCAGTGGGGATTTCCCCCACTGTCATCAGTTCATCAAAAAGAGGAGGTGTGTACGCTCCTCCTCATTCGCCTTATAAAGAGTTATAAGGACCCACTCACGCCCCGTACATGTAAGATCAGTGTCCCGGGGAAGGGTCCAAACCTCACGCATGGTGTCACGCAGGGCTTTAGCTTTTGTGCATCTCATGACTGCGTGATATCCATCTTCTGGTTCCATCCCACAGATAGAGCATGTAGGGAATAGCTCCAACCCTCTCTTATGTCTACTTGTCTAAACTCCAAGTGACTCCGTCGCCAAACGCCACCCAAAATTTCTAATCTTGGGAGGAACATTTGCTTTCCAAAGCACGCTCCAAATCTTTCTTTCTCCGGTTGGCACCGTACTGCTTTGTCCCAAATCTCGATTCGCCTCCTTGTCATTAACGGCTAGCCTGTACGCACTGCGAACCGAAAAAACACCTGAGCGTTCAAAGTGCCATGCTATAAAATCCTCAGAGGTAGACTGTGGGAGGCAATTTTTTAGCACTTCGTCAACATCATGAGGTAGTAATATTTTCCTAATCAGTTCCTCATTCCATGTCCTTGTCACTGGATCGATTAGCTCGGAGACCCACTTTATCCTAGTAAGAGATTGTTTCCCAGTGATTTTTAAATTTCCCCTTGGGATCCAATTATCTCTCCACACTCTAACTTTATCACCTTCACCAATCCTCCAAATGATGCCTTTCTTAAGGAGATCCAAACCATGACAGATTCCTTGCCAGCACGGTGACGCGTTCTGGATAAAAGTAGTATCAGCAAGATTTCCATGTGGGTAATATTTTTCCTTTAACAGTCTCGCACACAAGCTGTCCGGAAATTGGATAAGTCGCCAAGCCTGCTTCGCTAGGAGGGCTTGATTAAATAAGCGGAGGTCCCGGAATCCCATACCTCCCTTCTATTTTGGCATTAGCAACTTATCCCAGGCAAGCCAGTGTATCTTCCTTCTATCATTTTCGTCCCCCACCAAAAGTTTCTGGTGATCTGTGACAGCTCCTCACACAGGCCTGCAGAAAATTTGAACACACTCATGGCATAGGTACTCCTTAGCCGATTTTATGAGGCTCTCCTTAGCCGCACTGGATAAATATCTCTCACACCAATCCGTACATCTCTTCAATGAATGCTCTTTAATGGGCTGAAATTTACCATTCTTCATCCTTCCTTCAGGGACCGGCAGTCCTAGATACTTTTCTTCAAAATCAATTTTCCGGCAGTCCTAGATACTTTTCTTCAAAATCAATTTTCCGAACACCCAGGATCTGTGCCACTCTCTTTCCTTCCTCCCGAGTACAGGATTTGCCAAGCATGATAGAGCATTTACTAGGACTTAACAGTTGACCCGTAGCCTTTTCATACCTCGTTAGTACATTCTTAATTCTTGAGGCTTGGTCCTGATTCGCCTTAAAGAATAACAGGCTATCATTCGCGAATAGTAAGTGAGAAATGCCAGGCGCCCCTCTGCAGATCTTGAACTCCTGAATATGACCGGTGTTGATCTTCGATTATAGCAGAGTAGAGAGACCATCGGCGACGAGCAGGAATAGGTAAGGAGAATACGGGTCACCTTGACGCAGGCCCCGAGAAGGCGAAAAGGACTGGAGGATAGTCCCGTTCATTCTCACGGCATACCTGACTGACGTCACACAACTCATCGTCCATCTAATCCATTGGTCTGCAAAGCCAAATTTCCTCAAAACCCCCTCAAGGTAGTCCCAGTCCACACGATCATACGCTTTTGTCAGATCTAATTTGTAAGCGCAAAAAGATCCTTTGGCATCACATGACTTTTGCATAGTATTTATACACTCAAAGGCTATTAAGGCGTTATCCGTAATCATCCTCCCAAGAATGAAGGCACTTTGGGTGGGGGCTATAATATCCTCGAGCAAAGGTTTAAGGTGATTTACCAGACACTTAGCTATGATTTTATAAACAACATTGCATAAACTTATTGGTCTGAAATCCTTCAACTTAACTGGATCTTTCTTCTTTGGAATAAGGACAATAACTGTATCATTCACCCCATCAGGCATAACTCCATCCGAAAAAAATTCCTTTATAGCCTGAATAATATCATCTTTTAACGTAGCCCAGTGTCTCTGGAAAAAACGAGCCGGGAAGCCGTCTGCCCCAGGAGCTTTTAGTGGCCCGATTTGGAATAAAGCCTTTGCAATCTCATCATTGGTGAATTCTTTACATAACGTATCATTCATAGCGGCATTAACCCGGCCTTGGACATGGTCAAGAATAATCTTAGGTTTGATCTGATTATCTTTGGTGAAGAGCTCCTGGAAAAAACTTGTGGCCATGTCTTCCAAATCCTCTTTTTTGTCAATAATGTTACCCGCCTCATCTTGAAGCTTCCGGATAGAGTTTTTCTTTGCGCGCCAGGTAGCTTTTCGATGAAAATAATTTGTATTTCGATCGCCCTCCTTCAGCCACTCCACTCTTGATCTTTGCCGCCAAGCAATCTATTCTTTATCTTGTAGGTCATCTAGTTCCTTTCTTAGCCGCTTTCGCTCAGAATTTCCAAAACTGTCATTACGGTGACTGATAGCCTGAATTTTATTCTGAAGGTCCTTTATTTTCTTTGTGATGGAACCAAAATTCCGTTTGCTCCAGTTGTGAAGAGAGCTCATCACACCTGATAGGTTTGCTGTAATATCTCCTAAATCTCTGGCTGGTCGATGCTTTGACCAAGCCAACTCAACTTCTTTAGTTAATTTGTTATCCTTTTCCCAGAAAGCTTCATATCTACGATGTTGACTGACTGGATGGTGTACAGGTTGCTGCACACAGCACACCTCAATGGGGCAATGATCTGAAGCTGTGCTAACTATGTGGTAACCTGATAGTTTGGGAAAATATTCATCCATTCTGGGTTCACCACCGCCCTGTCAAGTCTAACTTTAACATTACGATCGCCATCTTGGCCATTGTCAAAAGTCCACGGCGCCCCTAAGAAACCTAAGTCATGAAGATCACAGTGGGATAGAATTTCTCTAAAATCAAACTTTTTTTATTTCTACACGTTCTAGAATAATGCTCTTCCTGCCACATACACTCATTGAAATCGCCTGCCATCAGCCATGGTCCTGGCGAGGTTAAGTTTTTCATTTTACACATTAGATCCCACATAAGACGGTGCAAGTGTGTATGAGGCTCTCCATAAACAAAAGTGCATCTCCACTTTATTCCAGAGGGCATATTACAAATGAATACATCAATAATTCTCTCGCCTAGCTTAAAGAGCTCAACATCGACACTTTCATCCCAGAACAAAGCTAGGCCACCTCCTTTACCTTCTTCTATATAGGAGACTACATTACGGAGGCCTAGCCTCCATCTAAGACCTTCTACAAACCTTTTATTTTGACGAGTTTCAGAAAGAAACAAAACTTTTGGATGCTGAGCATGCACAAGCCTCACCAATTCTTGAACTTTCCGGGGTCGGCCCAAGCCCCGGCAGTTCCAACAAAGTATCATCATGGATCCTGACAGGCACGCTCATCCACGCCTGTCAGTTGACCAGCGGCCCCATGGCTGGTTGCCTCCGATTTCTAGGCATCCCCCTTCTTGGTCTCCTCCTCCAGCGACACCGAAGGTGATCCTTTGCTCTTCTTGCTGCTGTCAAAACTGAACTTTGGCAGGTTGTTCTCATCATCCAGAACCATTGGAGCTCGGTCCTCTCCGATGTGCTTACCAAGAACTTGATTCTTCCGGCGGTATACGCAGGCAACGCTGTTGGTGTCATCTGGACCGTACAACTCACGGCAAATAGAGCTGTCACTCCTGCCATATTCGCAGATCGGGGAGTAGGCCACCGCTGCCTGCACTAGCCCATCAGTAGCACCCCAAGCAGATGGATGCATCACCACTTGCTGAATTGCAGCGACCCCCATCACCTCATTTGCTGGTGTGGTCACTACAAGGCCATCAACACCCCCTGGATGAACGGGGGCATCAGAAGGCTTGTTGGCTTCACGACCAGCAGCAAGGCCAGCAGTATGCTTGGCCACTCCGGCCCTGATAGCTGCAGCCAGTCGTCCCAGCCCTGGGTTCCTTTTGGCCGCCTAGAAGAGGGGCTTCCCACGCCCATTGCTGCTAGCCCTGGAGTGTTCAGAACAGGCACGCTGATTCCAGACTGTCTTCGACTTTACTTGCTGTTCTGGATTCACCTACACAGGAATGTTAGCTATCCCGTGTACTCTGTCCACTACAACCTCTTCATTGGCCTTGAGGTTCTCCACAGTAGCAACCACCCCTTTCACGACAGCCTTGATCATGGGGTCCGTTGTCGTCCGCTCATCATTGTCGGTGGCCATCAGATTGGTGCCCAACTTTTCTGTCTCCCCTGTTTTCTTCCCGTTTCTATCTTCTGCATTGATCACAAGAGCCTGGGAAGGGAGCCTATCAAACTGGAGGTTGCGCTTGGCACTGCTCACCTCCCCTGGCATATAGAAGCTCATGTGCTCGAACATCTTGTATGGCGAGGCACACTGCTCCGTAGAGAACCGCCCTATCTTCTCCTCTTCTTTTATCAGACATGATTTCTCTGTGTGCCCAATGATGCCACAATAAAAACAAAAATGGGGAACGCGCTCATACTTTACAGGGCATCTTTTAGCATCTTTTCCGTCCTTGCCTTCAATCTTTATCCACCTCCTGAGCGGTTCAACCACCTTGTGCTCGATCCTTGTGTTCTCCTTTTCTAAGTACTCTCATCAACATTTATACACCTTCGGTATTTTTTTATATAAATGGACGCTAAAGATTTTGACAAAATTGACAGAGAGAAATAATAAAGGATACAAAGGGAATTACTCTCCTACGATTCTGTAAGTTCAAAATATAATAAAACTGACATGATCTCTTGTACTCTGCTTGCTAATAAATACATGACCAGGTGGCTCGAGAGGGGTGTGTCGAACCACCACGGAAAATTATCTGTGCTGAGGACTGGACGATCTCTCTAAGTTGCTTGACTATTGCCTCTTGTGTATCCCTGTCCCTTGGAAAGAAGCCCCCTACAGGAGGAGGTATAGGGATCATTGCATCACAGCCCTTGCATGGATATTGACCATCTGTCAGAAGAACCGTCTTCAGATCTGGAGCTCGACCCATCACGGTACTTGCAAATAACAAGTGATGCTTCAGTAGGGGCCTAAAACCACC